ATATCTCTTATTTAATTAATGCATCTATATACTTGGTAAAGGGTGGAAGGCTCGGCCTTATGCCTGGTGTTTTGTTCCACTCTTGCCGCCCTAGTTTCCGTCATATCGGTGTTATGTTCCCGGATTTTGCGTCCCTTATGCGGTTGGGTTATAATGGGAACCCCTTGACAGTTCGCTTTGAATAAAACTCCTTCAGCAAGACCCAATATTGGTTTTACCATTCACCACCTAGCCTCTTTTCCCCTTGGGTTAGGCCAGCCCAAGGGTCATCTTTATTTTAACCCCCCCCCCCGGGCCAGTGCTTCTATAAGTGTTGGTCCAACCCAGAGCACCGTGCGGGGCCGTCCCTTGGCAACTTGGGTTACGTTGGCTCCCGTACGCTTAGCTTATCCGGTGTGCCCTGAGAACGAGATATGTGGAGCTCCTATCGGGATTTGTCGGCACAGCGGGTGGTCTTGCTGGACTTGTTTTACCATTATCGAGGATGTCTTGTAACCGGTATTCCGAGTCTGATCGGGTCTTCCCGCTAGAAGGAATATCCTTCGTTGACCGTGAGAGCTTGTGATGGGCTAAGTTGGGACACCCCTGCAGGGATTTGAACTTTCGAAAGCCATGCCCGCGGTTATGGGCAGATGGGAATTTGTTAATGTCCGGTTGTAGAAAACCTGAAGTTGATCTTAATTAAAATACATCAACCGCGTGTGTAACCGTGATGGTCTCTTCTCGGCGGAGTCCGGGAAGTGAACACGGTGTTGGAGTAATGCTTGACGTAGGTTGTTCTAGGATCACTTCTTGATCATAGTTGTTCGACCGTGATTTTGCCTTCTCTTCTCGCTCTCTTCTGCGTATGTTAGCCACCATATATGCTAGTCACTTGCTGCAGCTCCACCTCACACCTTTTACCTTACCCATAAGCGTAAATAGTCTTGATCGCGAGGGTGTGAGATTGCTGAGTCCCCGTGACTCACAGATACTTCCAAAACCAGTTTGCAGGTGCCGATGTTATTGAGCAGGTGACGCAACCAAGCTTAAGGAGGAGCTCGATGAAGATCTTCCCCTTTGTGTTGTTTCGTCCTAGTTGATCAGTAGTGGAGCCCAGTTGGGGTCGATCGGGGATCTGTGTAGCATTTGGGGTGGTCTTCTTTTATTTTGGTTCCGTAGTCGGACCTTGATTGTATTTGGTTGATGTAATGCTTTATTCATGTAATTGTGTGAAGTGGCAATTGTAAGCCAACTATATATCTCTTTCTCTTGTGTATTACATGGGTTGTGTGAAGATTACCTCACTTGCGACATTGCTTTCAATGCGGTTATGCCTCTAAGTCGTGCTTCGACACGTGGGAGATATAGCCGCATCGAGGGCGTTACAATGCAATCCCGGCGGCGCAAGGTGCTATCGGCTGGCAGTGGCGCTGTGCTGTGCGGGCGCGCTTAGAGCCACGACGGCTACACGGTGGCTGGCCCATCCGTGGTGGCCAGAAATGGGGCCACACGGTCGTCTAGGGTGGCACGGGGCAGCTCCCCTGATGGCCTGCGTAGCTCCGACGTCCAGTATCTTGCAGGATCTAGGGTTTCGTCGGTAGTAGGTGGCGTCTAGTATCTTGCACAATCTAGGGTTTCGCCGGTAGTGGGCCTCACCATTGTTTCTTAGTCAGATCCAAACGGCTGGATCTGGCCCGTGGAGGCCAGCTACTCAGGCGGTCCGCTTCGGTTGGGTGCCACCCCGACATTGCATGGTGGGCTGGCCTGTGAAGTGATGCTGGTTAGAGCCGATGATCCTCATTCCCGTCCATGGCGGGGCTAGATCCAGAGGGGATCTGGCACCCGTTGCCATTTGTCCTCTGCTCGTGGGTCAGCATCTGTGTTGGCTGGCCCTGATCGTGGTGGAGCTATGACACGACGGTTCCGCCCTTGCGTTGTCTGTCTGAAGGTGCTTGCTTTTCGGCGGCCTGGTGCCCTGACGGTGATGGTGTGTCTCTCCTGGATGCCAGGGCGATGACCTTGGATGTTGAGGCTACACAGTTGGCTCTGCAGCGAGTAGCGTTGCGGTAGTGGTGGCGTCTCCTTTTGGGCTATGAGGGTAGCAAGGGGAGGGGTAGCGGATGATCCTAGTGTCATTGTGGCTTTGGTGGTGGCGGCTCCCTGGTCTCGATCTCGAGGCCTTGCGCTAGTGGCAGTGGTCCCCTCCTCACAGATCGGGTCGCAACTTTGGCTCCGCAGGTGGCACTTGTGAGAGTCCTAGCAAAAGCTCCGCGCTCGGGCGCCGCCGATGGCAGCGCCTACGAGTTTCGCTTCCTTCTTGGATGCATTGTTGTGGGTCCCCTCTTGATGCAAGGGCTCCGGGTGAAAACCATAGTCCGTCCTTTTGGGCACGACGGTGTCACTTGGCATCATCACCATCTTGAGGGTGTCAGTGCGGAGCCCCGGTCCCTTTTGGTTGCAACCGGCCAGCGGCTTCGAGCATGCCTTGTCCTGGACTTGTAGCATCCTCGACTCTAGCGTGGGATGGTCTAGTGATCTCCTGTCATTTACAGTGTCTCCGTGGTATCTGTTCTCGGTCCTTGCTATATCCTAGCAGAAGCTGAGCTCCATGGCCCGGAACAAGGAGGCTATCTTGGCCCTTTCCATAAATGGCTCGGTGTGTTCGGTACTATGGTGTACGGTGGTTTCTCGAAGTGGTGAGGGTCCAGTCCTATTCAATAGTCTTGGTTGTCTCTTGTTAGGTGTTGCATCTCCTGTTTTCACGCTCGAAGTGGGGTAAGGTGCACTTGTGCCCTTGCTCAGGTGGCATACTATTTTTCTTTTGACCTCCTTGTATGAGGGTTTCCTTACCACTTTGTATCGGTTTGGCTGTTTGGGTATATATATAAAGCTGGGCGAAAGCCTATTTTGAAAGAGGTGTATATACTATAACTTGTCAAAACTATCATATAAATCCAAAGGCAGTTAACTTTAGGCTCTTAGGCTTTAAGCCTGTTAATGCATGACTCTGCTTGCTAGCATCCTTCACTTGTCACTCCAAACATGTTTTGTGCTGAATCTTGTCGCTTCGTTTTTGTGGAGCCATGACTCGCTACGGACGATTTTCTACTGATATTTACATTTCTCTTCTACAATTAGTGGGAAAGACTTGCAAGTATATCCTGTGGTAGCTATCCTGGAAAACTTCATTTTTCATTAATTAATCATGTCACATTACTGGGATATCCCTCCTATTCTGTATCATGTCACAACACTATTATTATGATTATGATTATTGTTGTTGTTGTTGTTGTTGTTGTTGTCTTGTTCTCCTTTTTATTGGCAATTCCTTAGATTAGCAATGAAGCATGATCAGACTATTTTTACATGGTTCAATCATTGTACATGCAAAGTCTTATACTTGTTTGTCTACTCGCAGCTTGTGGACTGGTTTGGCAACGTCTAGCACCACACCAGGGTGCGGAAGTACCTGACCTGGGAGGAGTAGTCACCGATTATAGCCAAGGGGAGGCCATGGTTCGGGCTGCTGGAGCTGCTCAGGAAGCACCCGGAGCACTTCGTCATTAACACAAAATGGAAGGGCAGGGCGATCTCAGAGTTCGTCTCGCTGGTTTCCTTGCTATCCTAGATGGAACCAGACCAGCGAGGCTGTGTCTAAGCTTTTCTTGTGTTTCGTTTCGCACCTGTAGTGCAGTTTCCAGAAGGCCGGGTGGTGTCCTGATTTGTGTATGAGAGAGCAATCAGTTAGATGGAATTGCTGTGATGCATTGTATCCAGAGTTTCTCTGTCTTAGCTCTGTAGTGTTGAGAATGTTGTGTGGAAACTTTGACTTTTAAGTGGTATTCAGTTTGTATCTTTTCATATTTGAACTACAGAACTTAGCATGTCCTTATCGCCCGACATGGCAGCCTGTCGCAGTGAGGCGGTGGCGCACTGATGCTTGGACCATGGTGCAATGCCACGGTGGCTCCCAGCAGCAGCAGCCAGCATGGTGCACTGTATCCCGAGTAATCTTTTTTAGAGCAACGGGCTTATATTGTCAAGTCAACATGGTTACAGACTTACAGTCATGTTGGATGCAATCTTACATGAATAAAACAGAACCCAGAAAGGGCCTTAATAGTCTGGATCAGTTTGAATTTGTTAATATGAGCTGCTTTGTGGTAATATGAGCTGCCATATGGGCACCTCTTTTTTACTCCCTTCTAATTTGGAACGGAGGGAGTAGAAGAAAAGAATATAAAAGAGAACCAACAGATCATCCATTTGCTGGAGAATAGGCATCCATCCTTCAGACTCACTCACAACAAGGTCCAAGGATTCAGGGGTGAAAGCAACAAGGACCAGGAGGCTTCCAATGAGGAGCAGCAATGCGCGGCAAAATATTTTGTTTCGACTGTTTCAGAATACAATCTGAACAGAAAATGCAGAACATAACAGTGTAGGAAACCCTGAATTTGCGCGTCTTAAATCCTCCACTGCCTCTGGATGTAGTCTCCAAGAAATATAACAGCAACAGAAACTCCTCTCCGCAGCTAGCAAAATTATGTTCAGATGCAGCGTATGCAAAAAATGAAGAAAACAATCTGTTCTGCTGCCAGCACAATGCCATTCTGCTACCTCAACGCGGAATGCATCCGAGGGACATGTTTGCAAATAAATCGAAGATGTACAAATTCTGTTGGCGAAAAGAGCCCGCTGAACAGAATTTGGAGCAACCAGCACTAAGGCATTTTTCTACAAACTAGAAGGGAGGGAATTCGTAGAACTAAATGTACTCCCAGCCTGTACAAAATTAGGCTCTGAAATAGTTGAGGGGACCAAGAATAGTCTTTTCCCAAATAAACACGAGCAAGATCTAAATCAGTTAGCAACCATAAACATCGTATGGCTAAATGTCAATATGATATTTCTCCCAAATAAAAACCCTCCACATCAATTCAACGTTTAAACACAGATAAGTTGCGTTTCCTAGATATAAAGCATTGAATGATACAACAAGAACTGCAATGATTAGGCTACTTCCTGGCCATAGCCGACTTGACGACATTCAATATTCTGACATAATGGTGGAACAAAACAGATTGCTTGCCCTCCAAGCCATGACGGCTGGATCGGTTACACCCAGCAAGATTGTTACATGGGCTTCCCCCAATCACCAAGTCGAAGCCGCCAAATGTAGTAACGTATGTTGCAACTTGATCATCAGTAAGAGATTTCACATCATCAATCTCAATCAGTGTGCCTGTTTGAGTCTGATTCCACCAATCCCTGAAAATCCTATTACTAGCTTTGTCTATTTCAACAGAAACCACTGTCCTCATGTTCATTCCCAACCTGTGCAAAGCTACCTCTCCTCCTCCAATACCAGTGAATAAGGACAGCACATTAACACCATTGGGAAACATGCCTTTTAGCACTGACAAGTGGTAAGCAACAGTATCAACATGGAATGAGTTGCCTAGAGATTTGTATCTATTTGTGTCGCTGAGTCCCCTTGTGTGGTCCTTTGGAAAACCAAGTAGATATTCAATCTCTTGAGGCTCCAATCGAGCAACCTTATTTTTTCCGACCCAGACAAGATTGTACCTTTTGCACTGATCGATGACATACTTTTGAATACTTTGAGATGGTGGAGTGCCCGCACTTGCAAGAGCACGCCCAATCTTTCCAGTCAGCGTTGGACCTGCCACACCTGTTAGCAAGCAGTTGAACTGTGTTCTCTGATCCCAGGAAGGCCACCACTTCTTGTAACGGGGGAATGCCTCAAATATGGTCATTGGAGGAGAAGGAAGAAGAGGTGCTCTGTTCTCAATAGGCAAGTTATGTATGTAGCCTCTTTTCCTTGCAGCTGCACACAAATGTTTGGAATCTACAAACTCAGGTTGAATGTCATACAGAGATCTTGAAATGGTCGCCCATACACCTGTGAGAGCTCTAGCCACGTTTTCGTAGTAGAAATAAGGTGGTCCCATATCTTGTTCAAGAATCGTTCTAGTCACCCTAACTGATGATGGGCTATAATTGGGCAGGTTAAATCCAACCATTGGATTTGGAAGAAGCATCTGTTCATCATGGTTGCAATCCAAAGAGGGTTGATTGCTCTGTCCAGTACATCCACATCGCTTCCTTTTTTTCTTTCTCTCTTCCACCAACCTTTGCTTTCTTTCTCCCTCCAAAGAATCGAAGCATCTTCCCGTAACCTGCCACAAATGTACACGTATTGCAATGTTCTTTACATCAAACTGAGAGAACAAAAAGATCTTCTTATTCAAATGTACATTAAACCACAAAGTACCTGATGGTTAGATAAGTCCAAATTTCCTGCAACCCGTGATGCACTAATCGAATCAACTAATACAAAGAGATCACCATCCACACCTAGGAAAATTTAATCAGAAATAAATATCATAACGTGCCTTATCCATGGAAAAAATAAACATCAAGGCAATAGTTTAAAATAGAGCCACACCACATCTTACAATAGCCATATTAGCTTCATCTTCAGAAAATCCCATATCTACTAATGAGTTGATTTTCTCGTCCTTCTCAGACATTTCTTGTAAAAAATCCTGCACAAAAGTATAATGAAAACTAAGATTGGAAAACACTTAATACATATTACTGACTACTTAATGCCAACTAAGGAAATACAACTACATAGCGACACATATAAGGCTAGAGGAAAAAGGGGCCCCACAACTAATAAATGATCAAGAAACGAGTAGCACCTACTTCCCCAGAAATAAGAGAAAAAAATTGAACGAGAACTAAATCGATGAAATAATTTAGGAACTCAACTTGTTATTCTCCGGTGCTATTTGAGAGTGACATTAATACAAAGTTACTACATGCATGAACGGTGATGCTCATCATAGGTTTACGCTTGAAACTACTAGCTTTACCAGCAAGATAAAGTATTGGTTGTGCTGGACTGGAATAAACTGAAGGTACACATCTAGCTTTGTTACATGATGTATAATGGTGGTGAAACACAGTCATCTGGTCTCTTCATGACACTTTCATGATTTTTTTAAAACATATTGATGATAAGGCAAATGCATGTCTTCACAAGAACATGATGATATTCCCATCCACCTTATTTCAGGTTCATTGGTTGCTAGCAATCAAGACATATCTTTTTTTCTGAGCAGGTGTAATAGAGAACAAACACTCCATATGCTCTCCCTACCTGTTGTTTTCAGGCATTACATATTTCTAGCCATGAATAGGATTGAACCATACAATATTCACTTTGCAAATTTTATTTGCGTAACTAATATAAAATTCAGCTACAAGATCATATATATTACATTTCAAGATTTCTAAATAAGTGACTTCAGGTATTCAACTCTCGCTGAAAATTTATTTCTTGACCCCCTCAGTTTTCTCAGCTAATAGGTTTACACGTTGATCTTCTTGAAACATTTCTTGGGGTGAGTTTGATATTCTTTTCTAGTACTATGTTCACATTGCGTCACTGAGAGTAAAAAAAAAAGAATCCTGAACTATGCCATTCAATTATTGAAGACCTTATTCTTCCTAACCTACATGCTATTCTTCCTAACCTACATGCTAGTTTCCAACCCTCCTTTGATTCTACAGTTAAGTGATGAGATAGGGTGCAGCACAAACTTTACTCTAGTCAAGGATATAATTATATATATCCACCTATATGCCTGCATCTTTCTTCAGTATTCACAATTATCAAGTTTCGCTTCTACTTCTTTCCGAACTCTTCTCAGATCACTCCGACTGTACACTATAGCTTGGACTACAAAATAAACCAAAGGGCATAATTGGTGCGCAAATTTTGAATTCTTAAAGTTAGAGCGCATGTGGCATGTGTATATGTTCTCTTGTTTACACCACATGTAGTATGATTTGCTCATAGCATCATAAATCCTCTGTTAGGCATAAACACAAGTTTGTGTCCAACTAGAATTACTAGTCCACCTAAGATTAGTTTTCCTAGCATCTCGTTCATGAGATAGCTAGACTAGCCTAGTATATATACATGTACCCAGCCCCTTGTAAACATCAACCCATGAAAAAGCAATACAAAGTATAGAACAGGCTCCACACGAGCCTCTGTGGCCATCAAATCCGTCGATCTGAGTTTTTTGTCGTCAAGTTAGGTAGGAGTTCCGGCGACAGCGCCGAAATGAATCGATCGATCCAATCTAGAGCTAGCTCCACGAAAAGCTTACGCACAGGAGGTTTTGGTGAGACAAACACGTATTCCTACTAGCTAGTCTTCATCAATCAAGCTACTAGCTTGTGTGCTTGTTTGAAGCTAGCTTTGCACGTACATGTTGCTCTTGGTGTGATTTGTTCAAGTGTTTCAAAACCAACATCCTCAAGTCACATGTCTTGTAGTAACTAACATTTAAATGCATAAGAACTGAAGAAAAAACAGTGATGTCTAACAGAAATATATTTTCTAATTCGTCAAAATTACAAACAAGCAACACAACAATACAGTCAGTTTCTACTCCTTCACAGCCTCTTTGAGTACTTTGAGGGAGGCATTGGTCTAATGGTAGTCAATCTCATATCCTATATTAACTCTTACATGATAAAACTTTAACATGATGAGAATGCTTTTAAAAAAAATCAGGTGTTCCAATTTCATTCCGCAAGTCTACACTCATGAAATGCTAGGATAAAAATAAACAAAGCTCAAACAATATGTAAAGGGGCGCGCATGGTATGCATGGGAAATAATTCAAATATATCATCATACCTCATCACTATAATCACCAAAGTTGGGCTCTGTATCACCAGCATCATCATCACCATCCGAGCTCTCAAAATCAAGATCATCACCATCTTCAACTCTATGGAGGGTGCAGCCAGAAGTAGAGACGTTACCCAATGTATCTTCATCACCTATTGCCTACAGTTGACATCACCGATCCCAAGTCTTTTGAGAGACTTTCTCTTGTGCATGATACATATGATCCTTGCCATCACATAGCAAGAGCTCCATTGGATAAATTTAGTAATAACACCCATGGACACATACCTTATAGGTCAACAGTAACTCAAGCAATGCATTTTCGTCACTATGCCCTGAAAGGAAAACCAAAAGCCTTGATTAGATGGACGGTGCAAACACAAATAAGACAAATTAAATGAAATTTGTTACTTCTATTATTACCAATCTCCTTGATGCTTGTCACGACCATTTCTTTTGGGAAACCCATTGCCACATATCTCTTGACTAAAGAAGGAGATGACCCTTCCCCATTGGCCCACCCATTATAACTCTTTTGATAGTTGCACAAACCAATATCACATTATGATCTTAATAAAAAACAAGGTATGGCTAGCTATTGTACTTAAATACACAATCAATTACTACATGACGTACCAACGAGGACGGGCTAGGAGCATCGAAGTTCCACAAGTCCAGAGCCCATGAGGGTTCAACATCATCATCACTTATCCCCTTGTCACGGCCATCACGATCACTCCTCTTAGTTAAGCAAACACGAATCAATATTGAAAGCAAACCATAAGGAAACCAATTGTAGAGAAAAACAATAATTCTATCATGCACTATCACATCAGTCGCAAGATATCGCAAATGAACTTTCTGGCACGAAACAAGTATAGTAACTCGATGTTAGAGTTAGAACACATTAAAAAGCAAGAAGAAAAAACCATCTATTTTATTTGAAAAACTCCCCTCCAGCATTTTCACATGAAGACAATGCTAAAGTGCAAACAATATACACTTAGTACAATTAGAAATACTATAGTTTAAATTTATAGGGATACCTAATTAACTGAAGTGTGCTAGCTTTGTAGGAAGGATAGTCTAGTTAGTTGAATACTTTATGCGTAGCATGGCTATTTTATGTTGGGCGGGGGGGAGTGATCAGGTTGGTAATTCTAAAAAGATGATCAGATAGACAAAGTTTGCCCATTATCACCTGGATTATGGTTTGTAACCAAACATGCACTAGTGCAGTACAACTTGATGATGCTTGCATTAAATGGATAAACAAGGTAATTTCCAGTCTAAATGTATATATAGCTCAAATGCATGAGGTGAAGTGCCAGATAAGTAAGAATTTTGTACGATATAGATAGATCAATATAACATAAATTAAACCACACAATTCCTTATTAAAGACTATCAACATGTTTAAATACATGTTTGGTCAAAGGTCCGCCAGCCAATGTCTCATCATGGATAACACATAGTCGAACATTTTGAATCTATTATATACTAAAAGTCTAAAACTACTTGATGGGTTAACTAGAGAAAAGATAGCCATGCTAGAAAATCACACATAAAAGCAAAACATCCAGCCATTAATATACTACTCTTTTTCAATCAAGAAAGCATAACCATTAGATCATCATAACTACAACTAAGTCAACTATGGGCCCATATTATTTGACTCGCAAACACATTGGACATAACAACAAGAAATATGCCATCTTTCCTTTTTATTACTCTATTCTAGTGCAGACATCACACTACTATCTTAATAATAAAAAGTCTTGGCTAGCTCTTGTACTTATATACAAAATCAATTACTACCTGAGGTACCAGCGTGGACGGGCCAGGAGCATATAAGTTCCTCAAGTCCGGAGCCCGTGAGGGTTCAGACTCAACATCACTTTTCCCTTTATCACGACCATCACTGTCGTTCCTAAAGCCCTGTGAAATTAGTTAAGCACACATCATTCAATATTAAAAGCAAACCATTAGAAAAGAAATTGTAGAGGAGAGCAATAATTCTACCACTAGTAGAAAACAGGGCTATGGTCCAGGCCGGGTCAGCCCATTAACGTGTCTAGTCCTCTCTATACGTATGTATAGTACGTAGCGTCGACCAAGCACGGACGTAAGAGAGGACACTTCTCTCTATTAATTATAGCTAGCTAACACAATATATGAAACACCTAAATTAACCCCCCAAAACCCCCAACCCCCCCCCCCCTTAAAAAAACAAAAACCCCAGCCACAGAAATGCTGACGCGTGGATGCCTATTGGTCCCGGTTGGTGCCACCAACCGGGACCAAAGGGTCTCCTGCCTGGGCTCTGCGCACTGCCCACGTGGAGGCCCATCAGTCCCGGTTCTGGATTGAACCAGGACTAAAGGGTCGGGGCATTAGTACCGACACTTTAGTCCCGGTTCAGGAACCGGGACTAAAGGCCCTTACGAACCGGGACTATAGGCCCTTTTTCTACCAGTGCCCTGCACTATAACATCATTTGCAAGATATCACAATTGAATCTCTAGCATGAAATTCGTATAGCACTTTGTAACAAAACTGTAAGCTAATGCACAAATAATATACACAAATACAATCAGAAACAATATAATTTCAAGTTATAGGGATGGCTAATTGGTTGAATTGTGCTAGATTTAAAATACCACAAGAGTAGATCATATTATATGTAACAGGGCTATTTTCTGGGAGGAAAATGATTAGGTAAATCCAAAAAGGTGATCAGATTGACCAGATTTGCCCATTATCACCAAGAATAAGATTACTAATTAAACATGCATTACTGCAGTACAATTTGATGAT